AATGTAAAGGGAAAATATCTTGTTGAAATCAGAATTTTAAAGCATGCCCAAAGAAATCCTGTGACTCAAAACGTCACTGCAGAAATCTAGTTCTATGTGTGTGAGGGATTAAGTTAACTTTCTGCTCAACCTAATTAGAAAACAATAAGTTTAAAAATTAAAATAGCAGTATTAAATTAACATAATAGACACTATTTTTTAAGATATAAGTGTAACCAAAAGGTAAAAGATTGAAAAAAACAAAACATCTGTGAGAATATAAGTTATTTACATGCATTAATTAATTTGTAAGAAAATGAATTGGTAGAATATTTGTGGGATGACATTTTGGCAATATATGTAAATATTTACACTTTTCACACCCTCTTCTCTTTATCCCAACTTTTGCTTTGCTATGCCTTTCCTATGTACATTTGCCCAAGTTTTAATATCTGAAGATGTTGATTTCAATTCTATTAATCATAGCAGCTAAGGGAAACTACTTATTTGTCCATCAGGGGAAAATGACTAAATTAATTATGACACATACATACTTTAGAATTTTAGGGAATAGTTAAAATAGTAAGGTGGATTTATATGTGTTGTCATAGAATGATGCTGCATTCACTTTAACTTATGAAGACAAGTGGGAGAACAATATGTACATCACTACACATTATGTTAAAATATTACAGTATATTTTTATCGTATATCTATGTTTTTAAAAGCCTTAAGTTATCTTTAAAATAATGCATACAAGATTATTTTATTGTAGTTCCCTCTGAGGAGAAAGGTGAATTTTGGAGGAACATTATAAAGGGAGGGGATTGATTTATGTATGTTATTAGAAATATTTTGGAACAAGAATATATGCACTATTTTGTTAAATATTGTCATTACAATATTTAAGTAAGCTTAATAACATAAATAGTGTCTGTGTATTAGTCAGAAGAAAAAAACTGCTAGCTGATGCAAAACACAAAACCTGAAATTGAAATGGCTTAACACACAAAAATTCATTTTTTGTGCACATAAAATCTGATGCAGTGGATCTTTGTTACCAGGTGATGCACAGATCCGCTGCTTCCATTTTATAGTTTCACATATCCACATGGGGTCTCTATGTTTGCTGCTTAATGGAACAAAAGAAATGGAATTGGCCATCTGGATTTCAAATATGTTGTCCTGAAAATGACAAATATTGCTTATGCTCATGTATCAGTGGCAAGGGTAGTCACATGACCGAACATGCCCGAACACCTATACAGGTGCCATTAGGCACATTGACACCCAGGCTTTTCCTCTGGGGAAAGTACACAGACAAGAGGCAGTGGAAGGGTGGTGAGTTGGTGCATTATTTTTATTGTCATCGAAGCTAACATGTAAGCCAAGGAACCAATCCTTGACATCTCCATTCCTTCTACCACCTAGAAGGACTCCGGGGTTTTAGGAATTCAAAGTCAGGATTTAGAGATGTTTGCTTACATAGTAATTTCCATGGTCTTTCTTCATTTTCCACTTAAAGGAGAGGCTTTGGTTTTTGACCACTTAGGTGTGCTCACTCATTGGTGTGTACATTTAGTGGCCCATCGCAAACAAAATACCGCATTGAAATGCTACTGCAAGTATTAAGGTGGTTTCAAAAATTTCTCTAACTTCAGGTTTGTATCCCAAGAATCAGTATAGGCTATGGCAAATTAGACTCTACTCTCTATCCCAATTGTAAAACACTTTGAGAGTATGGTGAAGGTGCCTATGGGTGATGACTGTGTGCTTAAATGTCACTGTTCAGAGAAAACACATAGAGGAGGCCACTGCTATCAGAAGGATCCCATGGTGAGAGTCAGCCAGGTGACATCTGCAGGGAGTTGTAATACTCTAAATTATGAAGAGAGAAAGTGATTCTAGGCCACCTGTTCCACTGGGTGTCCCTGAACAGGTTCACTCTTCAGAGAAGTACACAGTAAAGAGCTGGTCAGAAGGTCAGGTTCCAGAGTTGGATAGGAGGGCATACTGGGCTAGACCTAGGGGAAGGGTGCTATAACATGCAAAAGGACTAGGACTAGAAACTTGCTCCACTCCCCCAAGCAGAGTCACTTCTCGAGTAACCCTGAGGCTAGGGTCAGCAGCATCCTAGGTAAATGACCTCCAAAAATAATCCCCCAATTGTTTTTGATTCTCATTTTCATATTTCTTCTCCTCACCTGCTTTTAGTACCACGGCTACAAAGTCCTCCCTTTTGTTCCCTGAGTGGCATTATGGAGTAGTGAGAAGAGAAATTAACAGACAGAATGGCAGCTTCAGGCTAGGAGGAGTAGAACAGTGTGGGCTACAGAAGAATTCAGACCAGAGGCCCAGTCCCAGCTCTGTCACATACCACGTGAACTTGGGCACATCTCTAAGCCTTACATTCTTCATCTGTGAGGTAGGCTTGATAAGCCCAAGCCCTGTCTTTTATGTATGACTATCGGAATGTATATAAAATGTGTAAAGATGCTGGCACAGTCTCTGGTGCTCACTAGGTTTTTAAAGACTGGCAGTTATTGCTATGATTATTTTGACCCCAGACACTAGCACCTTCCCCTCTGGGATTTGTTTATTCAGGAGATGTCAGAGAATATACAGTGCTCTAGGACGTGGCACACCAAATCAGCCAAAAATGTTACTTAGCAAGAAAATCTCAGTAAATCTTCCCCATTACAGGATATATTATTTAATATGAGTTTGGGGGAATACTTCCAAACTGGATGCGACTCAAAGCTTCTAGAAATTGTGTCAAGAACCAACTCCTTCCCTCCCTCCCAGTCCTTCTTCCAGCAATTCATCTCTATTTTCATTCATTCACCTCTACCAAAAATCTAAGCTGTGCTTAGAGTTTGCCAAATTATATTGAACGTGACCTATTTAAAATGTCTTTTGAACAAAGTGGGCTCTGGATCTCCCAGCCCAGGGCAGAGTCTTAGCCCAGTGACATCTGGGTATCTCAACTCAAAAAAGTATCACCCTTATTTCTCACAAACTCCTTGAAGATGATGTGCATAAAATACGTAATTTGCACTGTTTTCAACAGCACTGGAGTAAGAAACACGACACCTTCCATTCTTGTCCCAGGTGGGATCTGGTTTATGTATACTCTCAAAGTAACTACTACTAAGAAGTTTTCCATTCCAGACTGAAGTCTCTCAACAATGATACCCACCATCTAAGGATCTGGCCCCTGTTCACCACTTCCACAGCCTCATCTAGTGTACCACCCAGCTTATTCAAAAATTATCTCCCACTGAGTTTTGTGGAAATGCAGAATCTAAGGTTCTGTCCCAGATCTGCTGAGTCAGAAACTGCATTCGAGCAGATCCTCAGCAATTTCTGTGCATAGGAAAGTTTGAGAAGCACTTATCTGGATCTTTACTACTCAAAATTGTAGTCTGAAGACTGGTAGCATTTACCTCACCTCAGATTCCCAGCTGATCTTTGAAAATCAGATCCTGGTTCAGTGGGTCTGGGAAAAGAGGCCTGGGATTCTGCATTTGCAGCAGACCTTTGGAAGACACTGGTGCTGCTGGTCCATGGATCACATCACAAACATCCAAGTACTAGACAGAAGTATATGACTACTAGGCAAAAGTGCAGATTTTGGAGCAAGGCAGATCTGGGTTCAAGTTCCAACAGTAAACCTCAAAGTAAAGAATGGAGCTGTTCCTCCAGACCCATTTCACCCTCTTCCTTTTAATAATACAATCATTCAGTTGAAGACCATATTTCCAGATTCTTTTGCAGCTAGGAGTGGCTATGTCGATAAATTCTGACCAATGGGAATGAAAAGAAATGTTTACTCCATCTGGCCATGCCCTTAAAAAGAAGCATGTGCTACATTTCCTTTTTCTCCTTTCACCTGAGCTGGAACACAGACAGAGTGGGGTGATCTATCCTAAACTGTGGGGACAGGCTCACACCTAGGGTTGGAGAGGCAGCAAGAGGGAAGGCACCTGGGAGCTCGGATGATGTTCTAAACAGGTTTGGCCTACCACCCTGTTCCATCTACAAATTGGAGATTTATGAAAGGGAAAAAAATAAACTGCATTGTTTATGAATGAATAAATAAATAAGTAAATAAGTAAATAAATAAATAAATAAAATATCCCACTGAAGAACTTGCAGTTTTTCAAGGCTTCTACTTGCCTTGTCTCAGAGCATCTACACTTGACTTCCTTCATATAGACCCCCGCACACCTCCTGACCTTTTTTTTTTTTTGGTATTGAATGATATCTGCCATCTTTATATGATTTCTGCTCCTAGACTCTAAAATAATATGGGCAGGTCGTGAGAGTCTTGTTTATTTTAGAATCCCCGGTGTAGCACATGGAGTCTAATTTTTTAAAATTTATTTCTCATACTTTTTTTTTTTTTGGTGGCTGGACAGCACGAGGATCCAAACCCTTGACTTTGGTGTTACAAGGTGGCTCTCTAACCAACTGAGTTAACCAGCCGGCCCTTATTTCTCATACATTCTTAAGCTAAGCAAATGCATATACGTATCATGCAATTTTACAGAACAACAGACTAAAAAAGACAATAGAAGTCAAGAATTGACCATCTTTTAGTTTCCTCTTTTCTTGATCCAAACTATTTTACTGCTGAGTTGACAGCTCCAAGGAAATGCCTATTTGAATGACATCTTATTTTTTTCCAGATACAAAAATAAGACAGTCAGTTTCACAATTTATTTTACAAACAAGCAAAGCTTGTATTCTTAAATTTTATAAATAGCAATAAACGTGTGACCAGAGTCATTCATAAGCTTACATTCTGAAGTTAGTGAAGCACTATATCAAAAGGAACAACATTTGAAAATTATTCCCCACCCCCCACAAAAGACGATAAACCTCCAAGTTAACCATATAGAACAGGGACACAAACATGTTATACACTACGTTCCCTGTAGACTCACTCCAACTCTCCACTGCTTAGGAAATTGACTGCTCTCTTCAAAGACAAAGTGAAGAGTCTGCCTCAGACTTCCCTAGGGTTGGGAGAAGCTGCTGGATCTGGCCCTGGAAATTGCCCTGGTTGTGGCTGTAAGGCTAGCCCCAGTTGCAACTCTGGCTTGGGCTCTCTCTACTTCATCTTTCAAAGCCTCCTCATACTGAGATGGAAGGCACCTGGGCTCAGACTCATGGATTTTGGTCAGAAACTCCAGCAATTTCAACTTGCTGGTTTCAGCATGGGCTCTTGGACCCCACAGAAATTTATAGCATGGAGGATCACTGTTGGGCACCTGGCAATACTGCAGGTACTTTTTCTGTACCAGATCTTTGGTGATGAACGTTCTTGGCTCACCAAAGATGAAGTGCTTACTTCCAGAATATGTCCATCATATTCAGCACTTCCCATCTGTCCTCAGTGGCAAAGTTACCCTTCATGAAGATCACACACAGGATAATTATCAGGAGGCTTGTCTTAGGCACATTCTCATCACCACTCAGCCTTGCATCATAGGTGAAGCCTAGTTTGTTGACAAGGGCATACGTATGGCTGATGGGGTCAACTTCCTTCACATCAACACCAAAGACCAGCTCCACGTGCTCAGAGGCTCTGCTAGCGATCTAAAGGAGGTCATCTTTATACTCTTTGATAACAATGTCTAGCATGTCTGCCATTGTGATTGGCTCTTTCATTTGAAATTTGTGCAGCAGGAACTGCATTATCACAGCCACCTTCTCATTTAGAAGATCTATGAGCAGGTTCTCAGTGTCTGCTGATGACTGTGAGGAAGCTAGACTATCCTCTTCTTGGCTGTTGGAGCTCTCATTTGATTTGCCTGATGAGGTGGCTCTGGTGATGGTGGAAGATGAATAGGAACTCTGAGGACCCTGGGGAGTACTAGGTGTCTGAGAAGCAGGAGCCTCCTTCAGGTTGTCAGGTATTAAAGGATGAGAGGAGGGGAGAGAGATCTCTTCCATAGCCTTGAAGACCTGTGCAGCCTCTAGGCCCTGAGTCTCACTGTGGGCATGATGTTGTTTGGGTGTGCAACATGGACTCTCCTGACTCTGAGACATGATCACTGTTGTAGGTGGTAGCAGGCAGGAACATGGGCAGGAGGCTGGATGACAGTGGACCACAACCTAGAGAGAGAGGGAGGATGTGAATGGTCTCATCTGGTAAACTCAAATGTTGGTGGCTCCGATGAAGGTTGCCTCCACCTATCTTTTCCTGAGGGCTGTGCTCTAGGGCCTTACAGGTCTCCTGTACTGACCTCTAAGAAGCTGAAGGAGAAAGTGAGAAGGCTCTTCAGGGTGCAGCCGGCCACCCAGCCAAAGGCTCCCTACAGCTGATGACAAGGCAGGTGACGGTCAGGCTCTGTGGGATCCCTTCTGTTTTGGGGTGAGTGGTTCCCTGTCCTTGTTTAGAATCTTCACTTTGACCCCAGGGAGAATCTGGGAGTCTTCCCTCTGTGACCCAAGGTGTATAACCTCAGAAAGAGATCTTAATCTCTCTGAGATACTCAAGGAAGAAATAATAGAAGGGGTGTCTTGTCTCAGGCTGACAGCTTTTTCCAGACCCTCTCAGCCAAGAAACCTAGAGGGTGAGGAAGAGAGTGAGGGGGGTCCCTCATCAGGCCATACCTGCTTGGGCCTCTCAGAGGTGATAGCAAGAGGCAGCTCTTGTTCTGAGGTGTGTTGTCCCTCAGTCCTCACTCAGGGTCATTACTTTTACTCCTGCAAGAAATTGGAATACCTCCCTCTGCTGTCTTGGGGCAACAACCCTTAGATTTCTGACACTGGAGTCAGAAGGTGCCAAAGTCTAACAGCTATTCCAGAGTTTACCTGGTCTGAAAGCAGGACCAGGGCTCTGTGGGTCCTCACTGCTCTGGAGTATGTGGTCCCCCCAATCCCCACTCATTTTCTTACCTTGATTTCTGTAGGGAGCTGGAATTCCTCCTTCTGCTAACTTGAAGCTGCATGACACAGATCAAGGTCCTCATCATCCTCTCATTTCCCAGGCAAAAGTCAGGAAAGCCATGTCTGGCCACCCCCTCCCCCCACCCCAAGGATGACAATAGAGTTCTGAGGGGGCCCTCTCCATTTGGAAAGAGGGATCCCCTCAGTCCTCATTCAGCATGTTATCTTGATTACTGGAAGGGTCTAAGACTCCTCTCTCTTCTCACCTGAAGCAGTACTCCTCACAACAGGCCTCACGTTCCTGCAAATTCAAGGTGGAAGTCAGGGGGCAACTCAGTCTGACAGTTATTCCAGGGCCTCACAGAGCTGACAGCAGGGGCCAGGTTCTTACATGGAGGATACCTCTATTCTGGGGTGGATGATTTCCTCAGTTCTCACTCAGAGTCTTATGCTGTGAGACAGCAAGGCCTTCAACACCTCCCCTCTGCTGAACTGTGACCTTCTCCATTAGTGCCTCCTAAGGTACTCACCACTCTCAGATTCCTGAGACAGAGTCAGTGATGACAAATTCCAGCCACCCTTGCTCAGCACCTCCCAGCGTTCCAAGAAGGGCAGGGATCCTTGGAGCCCTTTCCAGTGTGAGGTAGGCATTCCCTCACTGTTCACGCAGCATCTTATCTTGACTCTGATAGGGGCTAGCGATCTTACTTCTGCTGACAGGAGGCTGCACTCCTCAGACCAAGACTCTCACCTCCCTCAGATTCCTGAGGTAAAAGTCAGAGGAAGCAAATTCCAGCCATCCTCCCACTCCAACCAGGGCTGACTGCTGAGCTGTGAGGAGCTCCCTCCAATATGGGGAACGGATCCCCTCAATCCACTTCAGCATCTTACCTTGACACTTGGCAGGGTCTGGGACTCCGTCCTCTGCTCACCTGAGGTAGCACCCCTCAGAAATGACCTAACCTCCCTGCAAACCTAAGGTAGAATTCAGGAGGCCACTCATGCACACAGTTATTCCAGAGCTTCTGGGGCTGGAGCAGGGGCTTAGCCCTTACCTGGGGAACCCCTCTGTTCTGTGGTGGTGGTCACCTCAGTCTCCACCCAGTGTCTTATCCTGAAACTTAACAGGGCCAGGGACTCCTCCCTCTGCTGCCTTGTAGTCAAGCCCCTCAGACCAAGGCATTCAGCACCCTCAGATTTCCGAGGCCCAAGTCAGCAGGTGCTTCAATCTGACAGTTATTCCAGGGACTCCTTTGGGTGACAAAATGAACACGGCTTTACTCAGGGGGGCCTCATCTATTCTGGAGTAGATGGTTCCTTCATTCCTTGTTCAATGTCCTTTTGGGAAGATAGGATAATTTAATCAGGCCCTCTCGCCTTGGGCCAGGTTGGGGGTGGTGTGGTGCAGTCTTTGTAAATAAGTTGTGTGTGGGTAGAGTTAGTGTGCCTGCATGGCACTGCCACCTTGGCTGGCGTCTGCTGCCTTGGGCGTCCCTCCATGCAGCTATGCTCTCCAACCTATGGCTTCCAAGGACCTGTTTGCCAGTTACCTAGCTCACAGAACTGCAAGTGAGGGGTCTGGTGACCCAGCCTGGCATGTGACGGGTCTGGTGACCCAGCCTGGTGTGTGAAGGGTTTGTGACCCAGTCCGGACAATGAGCTTGAGTGGTCTGTGAGCTCCAGACCCAGTCCTAGCTCAACAATTGGCCCAGTCAGCAGGATTTACAGGCAGGTAAAAGAGCCCAACAATTGGCGATGTTGGAAGGATTCCAACATTAGCCTAGTGTGACAATTGGCATAGTCTGTGACAGTATTCTGAGCAGGTACAGGAGCCAAAAGCCCTTGAAAGAAGGAGGAAATGTGGCTACTTTTGAATATGCTCTGCCCTATGGCCACCTATCTGTTGACCAGGATCTGGTTGCTGCACACTGTACTGAAAGTCAGCATAGACCAGACATTACAATGGAAAATCCCTTGGGAAGGGGAGGAAATGTGGCTATCCTTGAGCATGTGGTGCCCGGTGGCCACTTTACTGCTGACAGGAGCCCGGCTGCTGTTAACTATGCTGCAAACTGATTGAGATTTGCAGCAGAAAGCAGAGTTGTTGGAAGCATGGATAAATGTCTTGGAGGATGATGTGCAGCAACTGACCACTCCTGCCTCTCACAACAGGGAAGATGACCAACCCAGTGGTGAGTTGGAAGAAACCGTGCATCTCCAGGCACTACCTCTTGTGCATGAGAAATTGAGACATGAGCAGCCTATGGGACCAGACAGACAACCAGGGGGCAATCGAATGACCCAGTTCACCACCTGTGTCCCATATACCCAGGTTTAACTGGTTGACTTGGGGAGACAGTTCAGGCAGAAACATGGGGAGAACCTGGCGTCTTGGCTGTTGCAGTTATCGGACCTAGGGGTGGATAGTGTGGTGTGCTCTGGTGAGAAGATGGAGAAGTTGGCCCCCATTAGCATACACCCATCCCTGAGACAGCGGCTGCAGAATAGCCACAGGTATGCACAAGGGCCAGGTAATCACTCCTTGATGGAATGGGTGAATGTAGCTGCCTGAACCATGTGGGCAAATGCTGGAGAACTGACCAAGATTGTTAGTAAATGGCAAACATATGCTGAATGTTTGAACATTAGTTCAAATCATTCGAGAGCTGGGGATGCAGCAGTCCATGTTTAATGTGAACACTCGTGGCCTGGATGATGAAAGTTTTACAGGCAGCATGAGAGACATAGTGCCGCAAAATGCCCCATCAATGTCCTTTGGGTCACTGATGGCCATGCTGGCCCCATACATTGGTCATCCTATACCTGAGGTAACGACCATGATAGCCAGCCTGGGTGAAGTAGAGGATAGGAGACAAGCGAAAGGGTCCAAAAGGTGGCTAAGACCAAACCCGCAAGAAATGCTCAGGACTTTATCCCAAAGGGACCAAGCAAAACTAGCCATAAGCAGATGTTGCTTGACTTGCTTGCAGCAGGGGTTGATAACAAGAAAACTGACCAGCAGCCAAATGTGGTCCTGTTTGGCTTGTGGCAGCAATTACGCCCTGAACAGCATTTCACCAAACGTCTGGAAACAGGTAGCAAGGTACGCTCAGTGGATTTAAAAGATTTTTTGGTTGCTCCTGAGGAAGCAGATGAACTGTTCCATTTTGATTAGGGAGGAGGCCAAGGTGCTCATCTTTTGGGGGCAGGCAAGGACCAGAGGCCTCATGTTGAATTGGAATATATTGGTCAAGGACAAATGTGCAGCATGTTTTGGCATTGGTGGATACAGGTGCGGAATGTAGCCTGATATATGGCAATCCAGATAAGTTTCCAGGGGCCACAGTTTATATAGATGGCTATGGAGGACATACTACTGAGGTCAAAGCTGTGCCATTGTCATTGGGCATAGGAAGATTACCCCCCATGTGTATACTGTACATATATCCCCAGTAGCTGAATACATCTTGGGTATGGATGTACTTTATGGTTTGCACCTGCAAACGACAGTTGGAGAGTTTCAGCTGCCAATATGGAAAGTAAAGCCTGTGTTATGGGGATATGCTGAACATGACCCTCAGGTGTTACTCAAGCCAAGACGTGTAGTTAATATAAAGTAGTGTCACATACCAGGAGGACATGCAGAGATAAGTGCCACTATATTGGAACTAGAGAAAGTTGGCATCATTTGTCCAGCTCATAGCCCATTTAATGCTCCGGTATGGCCAGTGAGAAAGCCTAATGGTACCTGGAGAATGATGGTAGACTATCCAGAACTAAACAAAGTAGTGCCTGCTTTGCATGGAGCTGTGCCTTAAGTTCACAACTTCATGGATCAGCTGATGAATAAGCTGGGGACTTATCCTTATGTATCAGACCTTGCAAATGCTTTTTTCTCTATTCCAGTCTTGGCTGATAGCCACGATCAGTTCACCTTCACGTGGGAAGGAAGACAGTGGACCTTTCAAGTATTGTCCCAAGATTATCTGCATAGCCCAACCATCTGTCATGGTTTGGTGTCTGGGGACCTAGCCAAGTGGACTAGGCCCAGCATTGTTACAATATTTCATTACATTGATGACACGATACTAACCTCTTATTCTCTTGCAGATTTAACCCAGGCAGCTCCAATGCTGCTAAGTCATTTGGAACAATGT